CATTCCCACCCCAAACCCTAAACCCTAAACCCTGAACCCTGAACTCTAAACTCTATACTAGTTTCCATATTATTTTCCATTCCCAGCTAACCAAAGGCCGAGAAAAAGACCTTGCCCGCCCCAAGGCAGCGGTCCACGATGCAGCGCCGCTTCAGTGGCATCCACGCCTCCATCTTCGGAGGCTCCGGCGGGAAATTCCGGGTCTCCGCTAGGGTTTAGGAGTGAGGGGTTTTAGGGTTTAGGGTTATATGCTTTTAGGGTTTGGGGTTTAGGGTTTTAGGGTTTGCGGTTTAGGGTTTTAGGGTTTAGGGTTATAGGGTTAGAGGGTTTGGGGGCTATAGGGTTTAGGGTTGGGCTTTGGGTCAAGGGTTATCAGGTTTAGGGTTTTAGGCTTATGAGTGATGGTGGTTGTAAAAGTAAGGTTAATAGTACCTTAGAGTAAGAGAAATAGGAATGGCGATAGTTGCCCAGGGAGCCCAAAGCCGTTAAACTAAGGAATATGCCTTAAATCGTATCAGCGCTTCTAGTATCAGTCAAGGTCAACTCCTCTATTAAGTTATACTGGGCTCTCGGTAAAGGTTTGGAGTGTACTGGGAGGTTCAGGGTAATCATAGCGTATTTCAATGATGAATTAGGGTTTCGGGTTCAGGGGATGGAATTATTGCCCGGCTACGTATAGTTGTAGTTCAACTATAACCAACCTGAACCATATTCGAGGGCTTTAGCTATCATGTTTGTTCAGGGTGCCTTTGTGAAGTAGGTGAATGCTCGGATAGAGCCAGCCGTGACATTGCTCCCTGCTCCAAGCTGACGAAGGAGCCCTACGAAAGATTAGGGTTGAGGGCTTAGGCTTTAGGATCTATGTTGGTGAAAGGTAATGCCCCCAATGTCCTTACGCAGCCTGGAATCCTACAAACCTCACGCGACCTTACTCCTCAAACCTCATCCCCATACACATTACGCCTCCCAGAAAATGGAACTCCTCAGAGAGTGACATGGGTCGGAGGGTTAGGAGTTCAGTGCCGGCGCGCTTGAGTTGCACGTTTGAGACATCTGTGACATCGGTCATATATTCTAAGAAACAGTTTTTTTTTATTAGGGAGTGGGGATCTGTCCCTGTTGAGGGCTCTGAGCATTCAGAAGACTGGAAGACTGGGTTGCTTCTAAGGCATGTAAATTAAATCACCATAATAAGGAAGCCGTATTTTTTTCTACCTAACCACATACTGTTACTTCATTTAAGTCCCTTAACAGCCAGCAACCCAGAAGAAGTCATCCGGAACACCTGGCAGCCAACCCATGAAAGCAGGAATCTCTGCAGAAACCCTTGCTCTCGCTAACTCATGGGACGGGAAGGCTTGTGTCTCCATTACATGAGCTAGAGTCTAAACTCCTCAATGGGAGGTTATGTAGGGGATTATTTAGCAGAGTATTATAGGGGTTACTAAGTGGGATGCTAGTTGTTTAGACGATGGTATCTTGAAGCCAAACTCCGCAATCTCTATTCTAAACTGCATGCTTTTCAGAGGCTTTCTTTGGATGAGGTCCCCTAAACCCCCCGCCCCTACATTGTACACCCTTAAACCCCCGAAGCCCAAAACCCCAATCCTTGAATCCTTCAACCCCTGGATCTTAAGACCCTGTTCCCAGGATACGGGGTTTATCAACTTCACCCCTCTAGAATCCTTAAAAACAGGACCCCCAGAATACCATTGTAATTCCAGTGAAAAACCTTCAACCCTACAGCCTAAACCTCAAAAAAAGGTAAACCCTCAACACTAAAAGCCTTAAATCCTCTGAACCCCAACATCCAGCAGGGAACCTAATGGGTCTTGGCGCTGGGGCGCCTGGGGCCGCCATGCAGCTTGCGGTGGCTGGGCGATGATATGTGGGCTTTTTGACTGTTATTGTTTCTGGTATTGCTAGTATTTCCATAATGTGGTTATTGTTACTGTTATTGTTGTTACTATGGTTGTTGTTATTGGTATTGTTATCTTTCTTACTACTTCTGTGACTGTGAGGATTTTTTCAGTATTGGTGCTTAAATGGTTATTCTCATTAGCATTGTTATTATAACGCCCTCCATCCTAAACCCTACACCGCAACCCCCTAAACCCTGAGTACTATGAGCCTACCAAGGTGGGTAATCCGTTGAAGGCCGGCTTGGTTTGGAGGTTCATCAGGGGCAGGTTTGAAAATAGGTTTTTCATCTTTGTTACATTTGATCCCTATACAGTCCTTTTGAAGCCACGAAAATCGAATCTTTATAGGGCCCCCCAACCTACCTTAGTCATGTGTAGTCACCCAGAGAGCCAAAATCCAGTTGTAGTTACGCATAAGCCTTGCAAGTATGGCAGCTACCCACCGCCAGTGGGTTCCAAGCGGAAACCCAGCTTTTTGTGAGAGCCTCCCGTGTTTGGATTTAGTCTAGACGGCGGAAGCATCCTTGCAGAGAACGCAGGTCGATTCAGGGAAGGGAGATCGGCTTTACACGAACAGGAATGCACGCTTGATGCTTGGTTCACTCAGGATGCTTTTTCCGCAGCTGACTTGTATGCTCAACCTCCTAAAGACATTCTAACACATCATGAGCTCAGCTTGCTGAAGAGTGCGCACTAGTGCTTGTTTGTTAATGAGAAGAAGTGTGGTCAGTTTGGTGCTGACTCCTGTCTGGAACTTCCGGCAACTCCCGAGATTTGGGAAGACAGATTTGACAAGATGATCGGATTTCGTGCTCAGATTCTGATACTGATAAAGGTCTTTTAAAAGATGCATGTCTCCCACTGCTAGCCGCTGGCATGGTGCGTGGCGCACACACCTTTACGCTGAAGATCATAATGGGGATATCTTTGCTTCAGTGGGCCAGGGCTTCCTTCGACTTGTGTGAGCGCCGAGACGGTGACTGTCCCACTTGCCCTGAGTTGGCCAGAGACTGGGTTGCTGTTAAGGAACTTAAATTAAGTTACCATAATGGGTATATATAGTAAATAATAGGGTTTCCCTCCTAAACCCTAAACCCTAAACCTTAAACCCTAAACCCTAAATAGTTAAATAATAGGGTTTCCCCAATATAATAACTTAAATTAAGTTCCTTAACAGCAACCCAGAGGAGTCGCCCACCGGACTTCTGAAGCTCGCCGAAGTTGAGCGCATACAGGCGGCTTTTGCTCTGGACCTAGGGATGTCCAGGGACTGTTAGAGCTCTAGTCTACACTCCTTGAAGGGGATTATATACGGTATCAGGGAAGGTATAGGGGAGTATGATAGGAGTTATTGAGGGGATACTGGGAGCTTAGACTATAGCCCATAAGAGGAGAATACGGGGATGTTGGGTATTGGTTGAGTTCCTGGGTTTGGAGACGAGGGAAGCAATTTCCTTTCAGTCAAGCTAAAGCAACCGTTTCACGTATTTTGTTTCACCAATCTACTTGGAGATTCACGGGTAGATAGAAGTATTTCTGCAAGCACCCCGGATGAGGACATGACCAACCTCATCCCCAAATCCTAACTAATATAGTTGCCTGTAGTTTCCATGTTCTTTCCAATCCCTACATGGGGATTTCCCAAAATTAGGGGTACCTTTTTAGGGGTCCCAATAATAAGGATTATACTATTTTGGGGCCTATATTGGGNNTTTTGGGAAACTACCACATGTATTTCCTAAATAACCCCTTGATCTAGGCCGCCTGAAAGCCCTAAACCCTGGATGTCAACGGACCTGTGAGTGCCCCCTAAACCCTAAATCCTGAATCCTAAACCCTAACCCTAAACCCTAAACTCTAACCCTAAACCCTAAACTAAACTCTAAACCCTAAGCCCTAGACCCTAAACCCTAAACTTGTAAGTGCCCCAGGCGCAGGCCAGGGCAGTGGAGCAGGTTTTGGGGAGCCACCCGCGTGGGATTCTGAAACCGGGTTGCTGTTAAGGAGTTTAATCTAAGTTGCCATGCTGGGTATATAGGGTATATAGGGCATATAGGGTATATAGGGTATTTGGGGTATATAGGGTATATAGGGTATATAGGGTATATAGGGTTTATAGGGCTTATAGGGTTTATAGGGTTTAGGGTTTAGGGGTACCAGAATGGGTATATATATATATATTCTTAATAATAGGCTTTCCCCGATGTAAGTAACCTAATTTAAATTCCTTAACAGCAGCCCAGGAAAATGGAGCCCTTGGATCAGCTCCACACATCTCTGCTATATGCGTGCTGCCACCCGGCTGAGGAGGTCGAGAAGATGCAGGCTGTCAGGACAAAGAGGTTTCGCACAATTGGGGGTCGTGTCCCCATAGTAAGGATTATAGTATGTTGGGAAGTATTGGGATATATAAGGGGGCCTCTCATTCTGTGAAACCTGAACCCTAAACCCTAAACCCTAAAGACCTTAATTTTGGGAAACTACCATATATCTAAACCCTAAACCCTAAAGCCTAGAGGCTGCAGAGACCCTTAGCACGATGCTACTAAGCTCCTAGTATCCCGCTCAATAAGCCCTATAATAGTCCTTACTAGTAGTTTCCATTTTCTTTTCCATTATCCCAATATTACGCCAATATACTATAGCACCAACCCTAAACCCTAAACTCTAAATAGTAGTTTCCATTTTCTTTTCCATTATCCCAATTTTACCCTATAATAGTCCCTATATAATCCCCCCTAAGCCCTAAACCCCAATAGTCCCTATATAATCCCCTAAGCTCCTGGATTTAATCTGCTTCTTTTTGTCCTCTCCAGGCTGTGCTGCAACAGCTATCCTGGCAGAGTCTGGGTTGCGGGTTCTATTGGGGTTTAGGGGTTTAGGTTTAGGGTTTAGGTTTTGGGGTTTAGGTTTTGGGGTTTAGGGTTTGGGGTTTAGGATAGTGGAAAAGAAATGGAAACTGGGGGGAATATAGGGGTTTAAGGAACTTAATTTCAGTTACAACATTGGGGAAACCTTACTATTTACTACATATGCCCAGTATAGTAACTTAAGCAAAGTTCCTTGATAGCAACCCAGGAGTTTCTACATCACCTATTCTGGCTTTGGGTGCAACCTGGACATGCATCAGCAAAGGCTTGGGGACCTGATCTACCTTCACATCTTGCCTGACACAGGAAGTCAGAGGCAGTTGTTCAACTTGGTGAGCATGGTCAACGCTGCTTTCCAACATGCGGGGATTAAGGTGAACCACCCCAGGAAGAGCTTGTTCCACTTGACATTGCTGCGGGCGAATAGTAGCTACCCTGTTGATGCTGTGGTTGGGCGTTTGCATGACGTCGGGTCGACCACGATTCAAGTCTACTGTTTCTATTTCAACGGGCAGCAGTTCCTTGCAAGTGATGGCTGCGCTGAGCGACAACTATGTAGCAACATAGCGGTGTGAACCAGTATCGGAGTTTCTCAAAAAACTCTGTAGAATCCGGGCCGGGATACAAGCGGCCCTGGAACTTCGAATCCCCATGTAGCCTTTGGGTTCTCAAGGGCTCCTTTCTTTGAGAAACTCTGATCGATGTCTGGTGTCATGCTCCGAGCTCGCTCTCAGCTGGAAGTCAGAATGCGGGCAACGCTGTGGGGTTCAGGGTTTCTCCATGTCAACTCTTGCACCAATGAGATGTCAGCCTCCTGATATACAGTCATCGCAGCACGAAAGGTCCCAACTTGGTTCTCGCAGTGCCACCCCATCTCAGTTGAAACGGTTGGTGCTGGACCCAAATTCCTGAACTCGGAATGCTAATCCCTACATCCGGAGCCCTCCCATTTGAGGTGTCCTTCCTTCTTCTACGGGTCCCTAAAATGGGGTTCCTATTGCAACAAGGATCTGTGTAGAATTGTAACTTCCGCAATTTATGCCAAATCCCGTATACTCCCAATCAACCCGCTTAGGAGAAGGATGAGGTCATCGAAACGCAGAGGGCCGAGTCACTTGGCTTTCACCCTGGGATTCACGCGCTGAGTTGGTAAACTTTAGCCTTTCGGGGCCAATTTGGGGTTCAAAGAAGCCTCTATACACATGTATATATGTCTACATATGTATATATATATATATATGTATTTTTTGTATGTAGACATATATATATATATGTACATACATAATATTCAGCTCTTTTACTCAGCAACTAGGAAAAGATAAGATTTGGGTCTTGTTGGAGGTTTAGCGTAGGTATATCCTATTTACAGTGGGTCGTCGCTGCACTTATCGCAATTGCAAGTCACCTAGGTCCCCTCATACGTTTAATCTTAGCTTGTTGCGCTATAGCCTCAGCTTTTTTTTTTTTTTGCGGTATAACTATCCTGAACGTCCAAGCTGCTGGTTGAGGGTTGAGGGTCTTGGGGTGCGTATGGTTATCAGCTTTGGGACTTGTCGCCCCCATCGGGTTTACAATTTAGAGGTGAAGGTGTAAGCTTTAGGGTTCAGCGAACTGGGGGTATATGGTTTTGTGGGGTTTTGGGGCCGTATGGGTGTAGGTGGGTGCTGAGATCTGTGCATTCAGGCATGCAGGCTCTAAGACTCTCAGGTGTGGCCAGGCTTGTAGCATTGTCAGGAATGATTGGGGTTGAGGTGATGTATTTATTCAGTGTCCTTGAACATGCTTGCCTCCAACTTTGTTCCTTGGGAGACTTTTGTGTTGCAAGTCGGGTTCCTCGAAATATTTACGATGATTGAAAGCTAGGTTCTTACCTTCATGTTCTTTCTGAAGGTTCATGTTCTTTCTGAAGGCTGATACTGTTCCGGTGGCAATGCTACCGGATGAGAGGCATAGATCGCATCGATCGCGAATCTAGTAAAATCAAATCTAAAACCCCCCACTAATTCACCTCTGCCCTGCTTTCTTCAGGATTCAGGAGCTGAAGCAGCAGCTGGCAGCGTCGAAGGCTGATCTGCAACCAAACACTGTTTACTGTTTGCGGTCTTGGCTTTTGGGCTGCAGGGTATTTGGGTTTATAGGATGTGGGGTTTAGGTTTGACGCTGTCTGTAGGGCCTGGGTATGAGGTTTTCGGCTTGAGGGTTTCGGCCTGAGGCCGCAGCTGTAGGGCTGAAGGCCTACAATCTTTTGTTTTTGGGCTTGGAATGGATAGCCACGGTCTATCTATCTATAGGGGATTTTATGGGGGAGTAATCTGGGGATTAGTAAGGGGGATACTAGGAGTTTGGGCTATAGCTCATTTGTTTTTTGTGGGCGTACATTTTCGCTTTGAGGAATGTTCTTGCGGCCTTTGTAGGATTAACATGAAGGTTTTCAGCAGGTGTCTCCTAAAACCCTCATGCAAGGATGTTCAGGGGGCTTACATATCTTTTTGGGAATGTTGTGGGGCTTTCATATTCATCAGTTTTGGGATTGTTTTATCTTACGTCGTATTTTCCGGAGAATCACATTCGCGTCGTTCTGGGCGACACGTGGAGAGACCACGCTCCACATGAAAACTCTGATGTCCAAAATGCTGACCCCCTAAACCTTAAACCCTCAACCCTCATCCCTCAACCCTCAACCCTAAACCCTCAACCCTAAACCCTAAGCTAAAGCCCTTTGCCTCGACACCCGACATCCTAGAAGGCCGAATTTTGAATTGTAGTTTCCACGCGTAGGGGGACCTTAGGTGGACCTTTGTTGAAAGCTATCCTGCCTTATTGCAACTACTGTTAGTGGTGGTCCTCGTCACAGTAAGACAGTAAGAGAGTATATTGTAGAACTAGTGGCGCTGCAATGTCCTGCCTTGCAGGCCGAGATCCACGAGCTCCGGCAAATTGCAGGAGCGCAGCCTCTTATGTCCCCAATTGCTATCTGGATCTAAGGGAATTTCAGGTGTTGTAGTTTCCTCCATATTTGCTTCACATAGCCCGTATATGCGTCTGTGCTCCGCGTTCTCAGCCCCCCCCCCACCCTCTCTTTCCATGGTATGGTCCCCATCTGGGAATAAGCCATGTCTCTATCCTCCCAGAACAATGAACTCTCCGTAAAACCTCTCTAAAACCTTCTTGCAAACATTCTAAAAACCATCACCACAGGACCAAGACCACAGGACCACATGGGGGAGTACCTTCATAAGCTTCCACTAAAGACTCTATGAAACCTTCGCAAACCCATAAACCCTCTACGAACCCTCCAGAAAACTCTCTAGCCTTTTGCAAGCCGTTTACGAAAGCTATAACCCCCAGTAAACCTTCTATTAGGATTTATAGAAAAACCTTCATAACCCCTCTAGAAACAATCTATCTCCATAAGATATGTATAACACTCATGTATAAAACTCTATCAAGCCTTTAGAAAGCCTCTAGAGACCCCTTCAGAAAACCTCTTGAGACCTCTAAACACTTGCTATTGAATGAATGAACAGTCTGCAAACCTTCTTTAAACCGCCTAGAACCACTTTATAAACACTATAAGCTTCTAAAAGCTTAATCTAAACCTCTTAATTAAACCACAGAGCCCAGACAACAGGACCACAGGACCACCGGCGGGGGTAACCGCATAGAGCCCCTTTATAAACATTATAAGCTTGTATAAACTTAATCTAAACCTCTCAATTTAAGAAAACAAAGCGCAGGACCACAGGGGGCGGGTAGGTTCAGCATACTCTGTATCATGGACATCATGGACCATACCAGGGGGGTGGGGGGGAAGGGGGAGGGCCCTGTGAATGCTGACACATATATACCGCTAGGCTTTTTCTAGAAGCATTTTTGTAAATCTTTTGCAAGGGTACCCGCCTGGTAACTGCCCACCTGAAAACTCCATTAACTGGAGATTCATGGGGCAGTTACAGAACCCTAAACCCTAAACCCTAAACCCTAAACCCTATGAATACTTGATACTCCGCGGATGCCACCGATAGCCACAAGGAGGTTCAAGGGTAGTTACAACTAGGTGACAAGGAATATATCCTGATGACTGCCCAGGATTAAGATATATTCTACCTGCCAATTCTTGGAAGTGACTTTGGGGCTCAAGGTTTAGGGGTTCTGGGCTTAGGGCTTAGGTTTTTTAGGGGTTCGAGCTTAGGCTTGTGGGGTTTAGGGTAGAGGAGGCAACGAAAAGTCTCAAGGTCAGGGTGTTAATGAATTGTGTGGATCTATGGGATGTCTCAAGCCCCTTCCGCGCAAGGATAATCCTCTAAAAGTCCAATGGTTTCAGAGGCCAACCTAAAGGTCCGGGAGTCGCTAGTAATAAGAGGAAAAATACTAGTAATAATAGTAATAGCAGCGGCAGCAGGAGGAGGAGGAAGTAGTAGCAGTAGTAGTAGTAGTAGAAGAAGAAGTAGTAGTAGTAGTAGTAGTAGTAGTAGTAGTAGTAAGTAACAAGTAGTAAGTAGTAAGTAACAAGCAGTAAGTAGTAAGTAGTAAGTAGCAAGTAGTAAGTAGTAACTAGTAAGTAGTAAGTAGTAAGTAGTAAGTAGTAAGTAGTGAGCAGTAAGTAGTAAGTAGTAAGTAGTAAGTAGTAAGTAGTAAGTAGTAAGTAGTAGTAACTCTTCAGCTTTGAGCCTGGCTACTCCCAAAGATGAGTGGCCTTCACTATCAGTGTACCTTAGGTGGACCCCCCACCCAGTAATAGTGACTATTATGGATAGGGTTTAGGGCTTAGGGTTTAGGGTAGTGACTATTATGGATAATAAGGATTATATCAGGGTCCTCTTATATTCCTATTATACCACTATTACAGGGTGGGGGGTCCTCCTAACACATACCTTGCATGAGGGCCAGAGCATGCCGAAGTCGGACTTTTC